GCAGTACAAGCTAAAATATTGTTGTAAACTAGTTGTGTACTTAAAGTGTACTACTGTTATACTTAAAGTATACTTAAAAGTATACTTTTATATACTAGAAAGTGGGCCAACTTGGTCCCAAGGAGTATTTGAATAGTACGCTTACAAGTATACTACTAGTACACTGATATTTGTATACTTGCTACATAAAGTATACTTACAAATATACTTGAACTTTACTTAAGTATACTTAATAAAATAAACTCGAAGTATACTACTTTTTGGTAAGGGTTAGTTCACCTCTACTGGCTCGTTTTCTGTGTTGATTTCGGCATTCAAAACCAGACCCTTATTGTTAGAAATGCATACAACTATGTCTTTAAGAACTTGTTCGACTGATGCTAAAAACTTAAAAAGTTCATGTTTACTGTATTCGGAGTCATGAGACGAGCACATGATAATCACACTGACCAGTTATGTGGAATAGACAAAATCCTTGTTTGACTCAAATGGATAGCCAGGGAAAAAATGTGCATGCAGTAGCCCCAATAAATTGATAACTGTGATAATAAATGAAACACACATGTAAAATAAAAAAAATAGCAGGATAGGCTATGAAATGATCATCATCTGTCTTATTCTTTTGTGCAGAGGCCAGCAGAAAATGCTAAGAGATGTTCTCGGGTCTGATGTATGTTAACTAGCCTATATGAAGAGGTTTTCGTTTAGTTGCTCACTTTATCAAATCAAATACAGCTGTACTGAATTCACAAGCAAAAAACACATCTGGAAATCATGTAGAACCCAGCTTGCCAAAACAAAAAAAGCATCAGCTTCGGTCCAAATACTGTATGCAGCGTAGATATCCTTAAGACATACTGAACAAATAGGCTTCATCAGTACAGAATAACTGTGGCTTGTGAATGTGGTTTTAGTTTCTCAGTACTCCAAGTTCACACTTCAGTCATCCAAACGGAAGTACAGAGACACTCGCAGAAAACCGTTATAGTTTTTTATAATTATGGGCGATATTCTAATCTTCAGAACCTTCAAACTTGGAAGAACCTCCCAAGAAGTCAGCGCATTTACAGACGCATTTCTCCACAGAACAAACAGCGAGACTGACAGCAAGTGACACATGAACGAATAAAAAGTTTAGACTTACTTTTTTTAACAGGGTTTCTTCACGATATCCCTATAATGTTCTTCAGATGTATGTATGAGTTTCAAGACTGCAATACGCGAACAAACTCTCAGCAAGTCAAACCGACACTGGCCAAGTCTCGCCCTCTCTCGAGGGTTAATACCGTCCCCAATGCACCCACCCCCCGTTACACTTTATGGTCTGTAAGTCGATTTGTTGTTGTATGTGAGCTGTGGTAAAAACGAAAAATGTTCCCAGTCTCCCATATACTTGTTAACAGTGTTGGGGAAAGTTACTTTTAAAAGTAATGCATTACAATATTGCTTTACTCCATAAAAAAGTAACGAATTACGTTACTTAGTTACTTTTTATGGAAAGTAATGCGTTACGTTACTTTTAAAATCTGGACAGGGCTTGCTTGTTTGTTTTTAAAATAAAAAAGTTCTATTTTTGGCAAATATAAAAGCCTTTTCACACCAAAAGTGAAATGAATAAGCCTCAGGCTGAAGGGAAAGTACATTTACGTCCGTACAGTAGAATGCAGAAGAAGACATTTCAACACACTTCAGCAATAAAAAAAGACATTTGTGCTTATTAGTACGGTTGAACTGGATCATCGAAGGTCAGAAGCAAAGACACTGGTCAATAGAATGGGATTAAATACATAAAGCATATTTGTGTTGTTTAACATTTAATTATTGCAGGTTTGCGTCATATTCTGAGTTGCATTCTTTTGATTCATTTTGAGGAATACTGAATCTGTGTTTTTTTGTGTGTGAGTGAGATGAATTAATGCATATTCATATTTATTTCGAACTACAGTTACATCTTCTGATTTCTCTCAACATGGGGACAGCAGAGCTGTCATTCAATAAAGTGAAGAAAAAAAAGTAACTTGCGTTACTTATTTGAAAAAGTAACTCAGATATTCTCTTGTAAATTCAAAAGTAATGCGTTACTTTACTAGTTACTTGAAAAAAGTAATCTGATTACGTAACTCGCGTTACTTGTAATATATTACCCCCAACACGGCTTGTTAAATCCCAAAGTTTTTATCGGGGACACAGAACTGATTGTTCATTGATCACTTTGCTGAAAAACAAAACAATACTAAATACAAAACAAAACAAACCATCAACTTTTAACCATTAAAACCATTAAAAAAAATTATAGTGTGTTTTGGGACATATTCCATTAGGATTTATTGGTTTTAACAAGTCACCAATAGAGGGTGATGGTGACCAATTACCAGTAGAGACCGGGTCCATTACAGTTTCCATTAAAACCAATACAATTGCCATTATAACCAGTAAAACCATTACAAATTTTGTGATGGTGTCTATTGTTTTTTTCAGCAGGGCAACATTTGGTATTTAATTACTTAGCCTACACTCTAAAAAATGCTGGGTTGTTTCAACCCAATGTTGGGTCAAATATGGACTAACCCAACCGTTGGGTTACATTTTGGTTACATTTTTAAATTGTTGGGTTAGTCCATATTTGACCCAACATTGGGTTGAAACAACCCAGCATTTTTTAGAGTGTACTGTCCCTTGACATTTAACTTTATGAATATTTCTTAATATTTCTTAATATTTCTACATTTAACTTTATGAATATTTCTTAATATTTCTAACATTATAAATTCTCCCTGAATTCTAGAGCAGAAAAGACTGGTTTATCGCACCAGGGCAATCATTTTACTTTTAACCCTAATAATAGTGTAGGGGAAGTGAAACTGCAATGTTCAGGCGATACAGTACAAGACGTAGGCTATGCATTTTTAAGTTTACTGGTTCAAACCTTGCCTTCACTGAAGGGGTGTAAATGTTCCTTGAAGGGATGGTTCACCCAAAAATGAAAATTCTGCCATTACTCACCCTCATATCATTCCAAACCTTTAAGACCTTCCTTCATCTTCAGAACACAAATTAAGATATTTCTGATGTAATCCGAGAGCTTTCTGACCCTCCATAGACAGCAATGTAACTGAAATGTTATTAGACCCAGAAACGTAGTAAGAACATCGTTAAAATAGTCCATGCGACATCAGTGTTTCAACCATAATTTTACGAAGCTACAAGAATACTTTTTGAAAACAAAAATAACGACCTTTCAAATTATTGTCAAATTATTATTCAAAAAACATTTAAAACCACAATCAGGGTTTCAGACTATCAAAAGCTGTTTAATCAAGCTTTTTTTTTTTAAAGATATCATATAATCAAATTTGGAGTTTTGTTGGAGTTGGCTTTAGGTGACATCATCCTGCACTCACAGGCGTGTCCAAATTTTTGACCAATCAGATGGTCTCTAGAGTGAGTATGTCTCTCTTTGACTCTGTCTTTGATATGTTCATCCCTTGATTTAATATAAGACACAACAACACAGAAATGTAATTTCATTGCATTGAGCTGGTAGCTTTTGTTGATTTTTGGCTGTCATTGTTTTTTAAGGTTCTTTGAGACTATTATGTGCTGCATTCTATTAACTCAAACTCAACTGAATGCAGTTGAGGTGAAACGTCAGAGGAACTTCAGGTCAATAGTAACTTTTCTGAGCTACAAAGAGCCAGCTCATAAGAGTCATTGTTCGTGAATCGGACTGCACTGTGCTTTGTACAATATGTTTGTTTTTACGTGCAGTCTGAGAGGACAGCTGAATGACCATTATTTCGTAAGAAGACTTCAATGTGAACTGTCTGCAACTCACATTGAAAGCTAAGGTATTTATTTTTAATTTTTGACAGTTTTTTTTCCTAAAGGGGTTATATGATGTTGCTAAAAAGAACATTATTTTGTGTATTTGGTGTAATGAAATGTGTTTATGCGGTTTAAGGTAAAAAATTATTTTCCACATACTGTACATTATTGTTTCTCCTCTATGCTCCTCTATCGCATCATATGACCCTTTAAAGAAAACATACATGTGCGGTACCACTTGGAACAACCATGCAACGTGAACCATTCATTTATTCATAAACTCATTAATTCATAATTCATTAATTCATACATGGTATTATAAAAAAAAACCTTTTTTTTTTGAAGAACATTTTAAAAATCTAAAGAACCTTTTTTTGGAATGGAAAGATTCCATTGAAGTTAAAGGCTCTTAATAGAGCCATTACTGCCAATAAAGACACTTTATTTTTAAGGGTGTAAATCAACGAAACAGTACTGTATTTACATCCATACTAATTTTACTAGCTATATTGTGCACAGTATTCTCGTTTTCTTTACACATGTAATGCCTATGACCTACTGCACATTGAATGAAGGGTCATTTATGAACGATAAATCTGTTCAATCTGTTGCGTGACAAATGAACTAAACTCTCAGACTTGAAGACACAGGTGAAATGATAAACAGCTGTAGCAAAATCATGTCCTTAATGCAGCATTTTGTCCATGCAAATTTTTTAGTTTTAGTATGAATATGGAATACAGATATGAAAAAAGTGCCCATACTGAAAGAATCACCTTAATACTAATTTGCATGTTGTGTAACGTCTTATAACTCAACATTAGCCTATAACTGGATTTGCATTAGTAAATAATTCTACTAATTTATATATGTGACCCTGGAGCACAAAACCAGTCTTAAGTCGCTGGGGTATATTTGTAGCAATAGCCAAAAATACATTGTATGGGTCAAGATAATCCATTATTATATTAAATAAAGATTATGTTCCATGAAGATATTTTGTACATTTCCTACCGCAAATATATCAAAACTTAATTTTTGATTAGTAATATGCATTGCTAAGAACTTAATTTGGACAACTTTAAAGGCGATTTTCAGGCAAATATTGCCCTATCTTAACAAGCCATACATCAATGGAAAGCTCATTTATTCAGCTTTCAGATGATGTATAAATCTCAATTTCGAAAAATTGACCCTTATGACTGGTTTTGTGGTCCAGGGTCACATACTGTATGTGTGACATGCACTACTTAAATGCCACAGTTTGGGTAATTTTTCCCGTTATGGCTTGATATGCATTGAGATTTGTGGGTTTAAATAACCGGGGTGTTGCACAGATCCGTCTGACAGCAACTGGCTGTAATATAGGGACTGGACTGAAGAATCATGCAGTCTGCCATGCTAATGCACCTCCGAAAGTAAGAATCTAGAGGAATGGATAAGAAAATAGAAGAAAAAGAGGTTCTTTGTTCATCCTGATGTGTTTTTCCTCTGTAAAAGTCTGTCTATACATTATTATTTTTTTATTATTTATTATTATTATTATTATTTTGTTGTGCAAAATCCAGTAATAATACTAGAAAACTCACAGGGAGAGATAGTGAATCTGGCAGCTACACAGGTGTCTTTTTTATAGCCACACGTCTCCTGAGTGGTCACACAACTTCCTCCAGGGGTGCGGGGGACACAGTTGTGACATTTCAGGGCAGATCCTACAACACAGTTAATCTGATTTAGAAAAAAATGCTTTTTATGACATTTTAAATGCACAATCAGACTCTTTAGATAAGATACCATTAACCTACCATTTGCCAATACCAGGGCGAGAACAAGAACCAGCAACAGAACCTTCATCATTCTGTTGAATAAAGTGGAAAACTAATCAATTAACTAGGCTATGAGGTGAAACAATATGTTGTGTCACAAATATAATACACAAATGCGACAATATGTATTGTACTGTGTAGTTAAACCAAAATTAAAGCTTAGACAGATTTAATTTAGCATCAGATATGGTGCATCAAATATTGTAAGCCCAGAAGGCTTGAGATTCCATGTTTCTTAATTATTATCATTAAATAAAAAAATTAAATACATTATTTAATAAAATAGAATATTTAAAACATGTTAAATGTAGTTGGGGATAGAGTGCAAGAATATTAGTCTAACATAATTCTGTAGTTTTTGTTTCAAATTCCAGTGCTTAGACTACACATATGAATTTCAAAACATGTCTGTTTTTAAAACAGTCTCATATTGAAAAAAAACAACGTATGTTTATTGTTCATTAAATGTATTATTATATATTAAATAAAAATATATATTTTGTATCTGTGACTTTTACACTGTGACATTTTGATAATTTAGTTTAGTTATTAAAGAAAGTACTGATATAGCACATCAGTATTGTTGATTTTAAAGGATGATTCTCATAACTGCACTGCAATTATATATATTTTTCCTACATTATAACACTGAGAATGTGAAGAGAAACGCTGTTAATTTGTACCTGAGTGTCTGAAAACATTTGATTTGCTTACAATTCTCCTATAAGTGCTAAATTAATCTTATAATAACATTAATGCAGTCCAATCTAACAAACAAAAGTTGCACAATGTGTGTAAACGTACCTTGACTGTGAAGCGGAGCCGAGCTGAAGTGATTTCATGCACCTGTATGTCTGTCTCTTTTATACTGTGATGCTGCCTGTAAACTTACAGGAATCTTTGTCAGGAATTTGGAAATGCCATGTTGAATTTAGGCCAAATAACCCTGAACCACAACACAAGTGTTTGTTCACTGTGTGCTCTTGGCTATAGCTTCAGATGATAAGTGCCCCTTTTTATTGGTTTACTGGTCCATGTGGTTGTGTAACAATTTTTGTTTTGTTCTGCTCTGGTCTTTTCCTGTTTAGCCACAAAGATACATTGTTTCCCGTTATCTTATTAAATGTGCTTGCGCAAACCTGACCGGAATAAAGGTGCATTTGACACAATGTTACCATCTAGATATTTTACATATTTTGTAGGATAATTTTGTTGTGCATGAGCAGATATTCACTCTTATATGGTCTAAAGCAAATATGCCCAAACCAGGGCATTTGCATTGAAATGTAATGAATATATAAATGTACATTGTAATGTAATATAGTTGGATATAATGCAATATTTACTTTAGCTCATGGCCACCAGTCAAGTCTAATTTTTGGCCCTTTGTAGTAAAACGTTTGGGCTTCTCTGCTCTGTCTCTATTAAATGTCCAGAACAGATTTTTGCACATGACACACAATACACAGACTGCAAAAATGGACAAATTGTTTGCCACTCACTTAAAGGAAACATATTATGCCCTTTTTTACAATATGTAATATAAGTCTCTGGTGTCCCCAGAATGTGTCTGTGAAGTTTCAGCTCAAAAAACTCCACAGATCAATTATTATATCATTTTGAAAATGCCTATTTTGAGTGGAAGCAGAAACACGCTGTTTTTCGTGCCTGTCTCTTTAAATGCAAATGAGCTGCTGCTCCCCGCCCCCTTTTCCAGAATAGAGCTGGGCCATTAGAGCTTGGACCTGCTAAAAACATCTGTTTTGGTTCTGATTATCATGTTTATCGCGCTGAAATCACGCGTTTTAAACCATATGAGTTTAAACTTCTGATATACGGTTTTCTGAGTGCACACGGACAGAAAGCGGCTGTCACAGCATGTGAGTACTAAACTAAGTTCTCATTCACACACAAGTTTACGTTAAAAACACACATGAGTTACAAAAAACAGTCGGTTATGTCTGTGAAGGTAAACAGCTGGGAAATAAATTGCATGTTTATTTTAGATCTGTGTGGCAGCAAGTCACCTTTATTTATATAGTGCTTTTAACAATACAGATTGTGTCAAAGCAACTGAACAGCATTAATTAGGAAAATAGTGTGTCAATAATGCAAAATGACAATCGTAAACACTCATTTTTCAGTTAAAGACAGTTCATCATTGGATTCAGTGATGTCAACATCCAGCTCAGTTCAGTTTAAATAGTATCTTTGCAATCATTTGCAGTCAAGTCAACGATAATCGCTGGAAATGAAGTGTCCCCAACTAAGCAAGCCAGAGGCGACAGCGGCAAGGAACCAAAGCTCCATCGGTGACAGAATGGAGAAAAAACCTTGGGAGAAACCAGGCTCAGTCGGGGGCCAATTTCTCCTCTGACCAGACAAAACCAGCAGTTCAATTCCAGGCTGCAGCAATGTCACATTGTGCAGAGGACTCATCTGGTTCCTGTGGTCTTGTCCCGGTGGCCGTCTGAGACAAGGTCTTTACAGGGGATCTGTATCTGGGGCTCATCTAGTTGTCCTGGTCTCCGCTGTCTTTCAGGGCTGTGGAGGTCCTTTCTAGGTGCTGATCCACCATCTGGTCTGAATACGTACTGGATCCGGGTGACTGCAGTGACCATCTGATCTGGATACAGACTGGATCTGGTGGCTACGGTGACCTCGGAATAAGAGAGAAACAGACTAATATTAGCGTAGATGCCATTCTTCTAGTGATGTAGCAAGTACATCGGATTTTATGAGAAGTGTTATAATGCAGCCTAAAAATCCTTTAACGGATTTGAATATTAGAAGAGTATTAGTGTGTTGTGTAAGCCAGGTTAAAGAGATGGTCTTTAATCTAGATTTAAACTGCAGGAGTGTGTCTGCCTCCCAAACAATGTTAGGTAGGTTATTCCAGAGTATGGGCGCTAAATGGTCAAGTCAAGTATATTTGTACAACGCTTTTCACCATACAAATCATTGCAAAGCAACTTTACAGCCAATTAAGTTTCTACAATATTTAGTGGTAGTTTATCAGTGGTGACTGTCAGTTAATGTACATATTGCAGAAATGTACGGAAAATCAATTTAAGACGTAATAAAACAGACGATGAACACTATTAACAGCAATTATTATATGATGCAATCAAACTTATAGCAAAATGTGGTAGTTCTGTAAGTTGTTTCAGGGTTGGCATCATCTGAGTTCCTCTGAGGGGTTGGCATCATCTCTTCTCATGTGTACAATATACAGTAAATAAATCAATAAATCCACTGCTCTCTTGTCTCCTCTGAGGCTGGGACTCTAAATAGTGTTCTGTGCTCGTCTCTGTAGCCAAAGACAGAACAGTTAGCATGTTTTGCTCAAACTTTCACCATGGCATTAGAGCTGGTACACTGTTGTCGCATGCGAAAACATATTAATGGCGCCGTGGGTGTAAACTTACAGATTAGGGGCGGTAATATTCTAATGAGATCCCTTTGCCACGTCACAAAGAGAGCGAAATCAGACGCGCTGGTTTTCTCAGACGCTTGCAGAAAAAGGCTTAGCAAAGCAAAGTTACTGGGTTAATCTTTTTCACGTTTCCTTGGTTGCTAGATGCACTGGTGACCTCATTATAGCACTTAAAACCAGGAAAAGTCAGATTTTCATGATATGTCACCTTTAAATATGCAACATAATGACATTATGCAACAATAATGTAGCATGCCTCTCTGTCTGTGTGAAATGTCTGTTTTTGCATAATATATACAGTTTCACCTGTTGTACTTTAATCTACTTTTTAAAAATAGTTGTCAGTGTACAGTAATGGTTATAATAAGCTGTTTGTACAGTGAACAGCATTTGAGTAGATTTGAGGTGAGAGCGACACCAGGTGGTCTGGACGGGAATCTGCAGAGTTTCTCTACTGTTAAGTAAATGTTTGTGATAACAAACAGTTCAGACATTTTTAATTTTTATAAAGTGTAAAAAAAAAAAACATTTGAAATGAATCACCAACATCAACTCATTTTGTAATCCATGACATTTATTGCTATTACAAAATCTGTAAATAAGATAGTGACGCCTCTTTAAACATCTGTATTAGCAGTTTTATGTTCTGAATTGACAAACTCGACTGTTGCTCTGCTGAATAAAAGTTTGTTACGTCATACTGTTTTCAACCTTGGTTTTGAAACACTTCAAGAAGTCACATTGCCCAATGTACCATGGAAATTATGTCACTTTTTTTGGTTTACTTGCGCAGTGTGAAATAAGGTGGATAATGGCGTTTTAAAGCATACCAAATATGCTTTCCATCTAAAACAAGTCAGTTTTGCCTAGTCTATAAGTTATCACTCCCGCAAAATCACATCTGCTGACCTGAAACAGAGCAATCCCTTACCAAGTCGATCAACACCCCAAAGCTTGACAGTCATTATTCATTGGTCGACATTACATCAACTTTACACAGTTTTGATGCTGTTTTATGTCTGATGATCGTGTTAGATTACATGTGGATTCATCTGTTGTTTCGGTTTCTTCTTCACTTGTGTTTTTGGAAATTCTCTACAGAAAATGTGTATTAGCGCCCCCTACAGTATAACAATGAAAACACAGATTCTAGGAACACAAGTATAGCTCAAATATATTTAAACTTTTTCTAAGTAGGCTATAAGTCAAGTATACTTAAATGTAATTTTAAGTATATTTCTGAGAAGTACATAAAGCCCATTTCTGAGAAGTACATAAAAAGTAGACAAAGTATACTTTCCTATTTTTTAGTTTAAAAGTATACTAATAGCACACTTGAATAAACTTCTTTTTCATAAGGGATAACAAGGTGGTCTTCCTAGACCGAGGTGTTGCACAGATCCGTCTGACAGCACTTGGCTTTAATATTGGGACTGGACTGAAGAATCATGCAGTCTGCCATGCTAATGCACCTCCGGAAGTAAGAATCTAGAGGAATGGGAAAGTGAATGAGGGTCACCGTTCATGTGTTTATGTGACAGTCTTTCTAAAGCTCCTGTATTTTAGTGCATCTATTGCACACATGATGGAAACGCACAGGGAGGGATGGTGAATCTGGCAGACACACAGGTGTCTTTTTTATAGCCACACGTCTCTTGAGTGGCCACACAACTTCCTCCAGGGGTCCCGGGGACACAGTTGTAACATTCCAGGGTAGATCCTACAACAAGTTATTAGGCTGATTAAACAACATCTGATTAAGAACTATTGATTTCATGACACTTTAAGTGACTCAGATCAAACTCTTTAGATAAGAATTCTGATCTAAAACAGTACAGAAACAGCAGTTTTGGGTTTTAAACATATTTGTCAACACCAGAGCGAGAAAAATAAAATAGAAAGCTAATCAGTTGACTAATCTGACTACAATATATCATGTCACAATATATTACACAATTTCAAAAATACAACAATACGTTCAGTTTCTAAATTTATCAACTGTTCGATTAAAATTAAAATACTTTGTTTAATCAAATAAAACATTTTAAGCATTTTAGAACAGTTCTAGATGATATTAAAAAATTTATATTTTATTATTACATATTTAAAATAATTTGTTATTATTATTATGAATATTCGTTTTTTTGTATCGTTGTGGCTTTTTATATTGTGATAATTTTGATGATACTCTATTCATAAAGTAGCACATAATATTTGATATTATAATATTAAATAATATATTGTAAATATTATAATAAATATAATATTTTAGAATTTATTTAGCTGATTTTAAAGGATGATTCTCATAACTGTATTGCATTTTGTTTCGTTTGTTTTCATTTATGCATTATAATACTGACAATGTAAGAAGAAATATGGTTAATTTTTCATTATAGTATGTCACAATGCAAAATGCACAAT